GGACTGAGTATTATTAATAGTTTTTATATATTTTAGATTTCAAGTTTTTGATGCTATATTTACTATAAATATTTTTTCCTATTCTATCACCTGTATCTCAATTATATATATATTTTTTGCTGTAAGAAGTCTTTTCTTTCAGCGTAGTTAGGCATATGTTGTCCTATAATTCCTTCCATTTAGTGACTTGCAAAAAAAAGTTCTCCTTTATACAGCTAAGATACTTTATTCCACTTTATTGCTATTTTTTATGGTTCAAAACACATTTATGTCTCATATACAGCTGGAATTCGATGGGTTATGTGGATGTGGGTCTAAATCTCTTTCCTGCCAAACTGGCAGCCAATTTTCCCAAGTAAATTTGCAGCTATTTTATAACTCTTGTTCTTTTGATAGAATTCAGACCATTCATGTTTGTTGCTATAAGTAATATGTGCAATTTATTTTCTGTCATTCTCTTCTTAATATTGTCTGTTGATGTTGTTTAGAGAGAATGCAGTCTGTCTTAATCTTCTGTAACTTAAGCAACTAATAACGTGGGTTGTATTTTTGTTTTAAAACCATTAATTATACTTCCCTGAGATTCAACCCCCTTCTTAATCTAGACAGAGAAACATTGCCTTTGATATTAATTCTTCTTTTCACTTCTTTGTTTTTTTTTAATGTTTCTCATCTGTGGTTTTAATAGTAGAAAATGACCTTTTTTTAAAAAAAGATATCTCTTTTGTACTGATTATTATAATATACATTTTTATCCTGAACTCTGGGTTAGTTATATCTAGTACAGTTAGAAAGATTGTACACCTAATTCTTAACTCTATGTTTATGTCAGATGTTAAGTAAAGGTAATAGATTTACTGTTCAGTCAGTTTGAATTTCTTCTTCCATGACTTATAGGAACTCTTTAGTTGTGAGTTTTTGTTGATAAGTTTTTCCAGGTCTTGTTTGTTTTTCAAGTGAATTCTTATGTTTTAAAAAATATGATCATGTTTGTAGGCTATGTTATTTTTGGTGTCCAGTTTTTTTTAAAGGCTTGAACATTTTTGTTCAACATTGATGTTTTTCCTTTGTTTTTGAAAAATTTGACATTACTCTAAATTGTATTTCTTTAATGTGACTGTTTTTCTTCTTTGATTCAGAATTTTTCTTTTTATAATTCTGTAGTTCTATGATTTATGTGTCTTAGTGAATCACTGTTAGGATTTCTTCTTGCTGGTGTCTGTTTGTATAGTATTTGATAATCTGATTCATGGTGGAAAATTTTCCCTAATTAGGTACTTAAATATAGTATTTAACTTTATTTTTCTTTTTCAGTATATTCTAGATTCCCATTTAATCTAATTTTTCTACTTTTTGCTTTGTCTTCCATATCTTTAACTTTGTCTTGCATATTTATTAGCAGCTTGTTAGTTCTATTGCTTTCTGGGTTTGTTCTTCAATTTTCATTATTTATTGATCATTGCCAAATTTTCTTGATCCTATTGTTTGCTGGTTCCATCAATATATCTTAGATATTGGGCACTGTTTTGCATTTTCCCTAATTTTTCCTCAGGTTTTATTTTTTTAAAACTGCTTTTGAGAATTAATGTCTATGTTAATTTTTAATATTTTTGTTTCACAATTTAATTTATCAGTTGGTATTTTTCCTGTTCTGGCTATTGATACTTTACCTTGGGTTTTGGAGGAATTTTATTACTTAGAGCATAGAATTATAGATTTATGTTTATAGTTGGAAGGGACCTTAAAGAGTATCTAATCCAGCCCCCCAGCTTTACAGATGAGGAAACTGAGGCTCAAAGAAGTGATTCACCCAGGGTTTTATGGAGACAGTGACAGAGCCAGAATTTAAAATACATTTTTCTGCCTCCAAATGGAATATCCCCTGTACTTCATTATACTTCTGTCTCAATATCTTTTACCTTGTACAAGTTTTTTTCGGTTGGATAATAGATTAAAAATAGTTATTACTAATTTTTCAGTTTCAAGAAGGGAGTAATTAAGTGCCATAGGCATGGGAGGCTAGGGACTGCTTTAAAGAAAGTTTCCACTCTTGCTTCTTTTCTCATTTCTCTTCATGGGATGAGGATGGGTTCTAATAGTGCTTCATAATTTATTACAGGAGTTTAGGGAGAAGCTGATTCCAATGGCTTTGTTATCGCACAGCCATCTTTACCCAGGGGATCTAATCTTGATCTGCATCCTTGTCTTACTCATATTACTAGGGCAAGTCATTACAGTGTGAAACTTGTGATAAGTCTTTGACAGACATTCATGCAAGACTTTCAAACCTAAGAAGTATCCTGTCCATAGTGGTCTGAGATCCCCAGTATTTTTTCCCTGGGGGTCTGTCCCAATGGATGTGGTCTAGGAAAGTCAAAGGATCGTAGATGTATTGCTGGAAGGGACATCATAGGTCATATAGGCTGACCCCTTAATTTTACAGATGACCGACCTAAAGCATAGAGAGATTAAATGACATTTAAATGTCATACCCACAGTAAGTAGCAAGCTGGGATTTGAACCGAGGTCCTCTGACTACAAACTCAGTGATCTTTCCTTTTTACCTGCTGTTAACCTGTCATTGTGTTCCACTGATCTGTGTTTGACTGTAGTCAGAGGGAAGGAATCAGGAGTTTGGCCTCATTCACTTAGTTTAAGGATGTAACCAAGGATGAGTAATGGCCCTAAACTAGACTAATTAAGTTTGTGTTCAAGAATGTGCAGCTGAGGCTGCCATACCTGCAAGGAAGAAAGACAATTCTTCTGTACTGTCAGCCTGGATAGGAATTTCCCAGGAGGCTCTGGAGGGTTGGTCCAGATGGTGAAACTCCCAGGATACAGGAACCAGGAGATGCTAACCACAACAGTTGGCATGATTAGGCTAATGAAAGATAAACTAGTCATGGATTAAGGGAAGGTGGTCATCACTGAACATAAGCTAAAATGAATACTCTTATGGGGGGTAAAGAAATTTTATATGAGCTGGGTTAAAAAGATTGATATGACATAGTAGAAAAGAAGTGGATTGAGAATCAAGAGATTTAGGTTCTAGTCTTAGCTCTTCCATTGACCAGCTAGGTGACCTTAGGCAAGTCACTTTACTTTTCTTCCTCTGTAAAATAAAGGAGTTGGATGAAATTATCTCCCCAGTCCTTTATATCAAATTGTATGTATCACAGAATCATAGAACATGGACAGAAAACAGTCTTTCTAGTGTACTCTGCCTTAAATTCTTAAGAGAGTATCATGTCTAATTTTGTTAATAATACTTTAAAGCATATTACATTTTTTTTACAACTAATTATTTGTTCTCCACAGTCGCAGGGGTCAGTAGCAAAGGGGAAACATAATAGTAGAGAGAGAATAGAAGAGGATATAGACTATAAAATAGTAAGAGAAGCCAGAATGAAACAACAGGTATAAAAATATATCCATAGAAGAGATAAAAGGATTTGTAATTGCTTATCCTAGAGATGGCTAAGAGGTGAACTGTCTTCAACTACATACAGGGTTTTTACAAGGAAGCTGATGATCATTTTCTATGTTTACCAAAGATTGAGTAAGAAAAAAATGGTATTACAGTAGAAGAGATTTTGGCTGGACACAAGGAAGTACTTCCAGACTGTTACAGGGATAAATAATTTAGGTCTTCCTTAGAGACCTTTAAAAGAAGAAAAAAGAAAAGAAAACCCTGTGTTCTGACAATGGGCTTAAAGTCAGATAGATGACAGGGTTTTCATGGCCCATATATGATGGTCTTAAATTGAGAACATGTAATCTTATTACATTGGGAATGGATGAAGCTAGCAGAAAGGTGAAGGCAGAGTACCTTTTTCTCCCCTCCCCCTTTCCCATACCCAGGGATTGTAACATGCAACATGTATGTTAAGCTGACTCTTTCATACAAAGTCTCTCAGTATGGGGAGTGTGAGACAGGTTTCCTGATCCATTCTACAGATACAAAAGTTGAGGCAGGAAGAAGCCCTCTGACCTCCCTAAGTACACACAGAGGTGGGTTTGGATGAGGCAAGTATTTGCAAACAGCATTGTTCTGTTTTGTCTAAAAGGTCCCTTTAATCTTTAAGGAACAAATATTTTTTAAAGCAAAGGTGAACTGAAGAAGTTAGTCACTGCTACTCATAAGCTTTTGCATTATTTACTTAAAATGTGAATAAAAGTGACTGGAGAACCTAGATCTAGAATCAAGGCTTTTCCATTCTCTACTGCTATGTCTCCCCTTTGCTATTGACCTCAGGGACTGGGGGGAACAAGTAATCTGCCCCAACATGAGCACACACTTTATGCACAGCAAGACTGGGAAGAACCATTCTCAGACCTGTAGCATTTTCCTAGTTGTAATGTCTAGTGGACAATAGTATTCTTTGTCTAATTAAACAGGTTCAAGTGAAGCATTATAATTAGAGTTCACTAGATAGAGCCATACTGCCATCAGTGCCACTGATCATGCTGTGGTTCTTTAGGGGAAGAATTGTAGAATCTGAAAGCTAAATGGACCTTCCCATTCACATTAAGACAAAGTTTAAGTAGACTCCCTAAACATCTTGTTATACATGGCTTCTCCTTTCTCCCTCTCCCTCTCTCCCTTCCTCTCGCCCTTCTACCACCCCAGCTGGGATCTTAAAGCATCTGATAGCATTATAAAATATTCGTTATCTGGGGGAAGTAAATCGTTAGCAATACTGAAAATACCTTTCAATTAGTAATTCTTATCTCTTTAAGGCATAACTTAGTGTTTTAATTAGCAACTGCATTGAATTAAAAAATTAAAAATATTTTTTTCTCTTTTTTGAGAAATCCCAGTATCATTCAAGAATGCTTTATTTCCTTGCTGCTTTCATCTCTCAGCCCACTCCCCAAATTCTGAACAACTTGGATGTCTTTAGAAGCTTTCAGAGGAGCATAGCCACAATAAAACAGCTGTATTTTAAAAGGCTTAACTAGTGAACTCATCTGAAGTGGTTAATTATTTTGATTCCTAGAAGACCTCCCAAGAAGCAGCAAACCTTGGTGGTTGAATGATACTTCTGCTGGTCCAGCTTCCCTCCCAATTAATGACACTTTAAGTAGTCATCTCAGACAGAAGAGATCTGTCAGCACTGAGCGATTTGTGGAGACTTTGGTGGTGGCAGACAAAATGATGGTGGGCTACCATGGGCGCAAAGATATTGAACATTACATCTTGAGTGTAATGAATATTGTAAGTTTTATCCCTCTTTGCTTTCTTCCTATTTCTTTTGGCCAGACAATTTAAAGTGGGAATTTTGAATTCCAAGTGAAGAAAACACTTCATTAGACTAATGTGGATTCAGTTTATTTCAAAATGCATTTACTAAGTCCCTACTATGTGCTAGGCACTAGCAACACAAAGCCAAAAATGAAAGATCTTGTCCTCAAGGAAGTTATATTCCTTTGCTCATGAAAGAGCCAACTGGAAAATGAATGTTTTTTTCTTGAAAAAGGTAACGAAGAGTGTCCTTGTTGTCTTTTTTCAGTTGCTGGAAAGTTTTGTGTGTTCAACTGTGTTTCAGTATTTTTAGTTTAAAGAGAACATCAGCTGACCGTGGTCATTTACACTGTTTGTGAAGTGTTTTGCAAACTTTAAAGTGCTAGGTAAAGGCCAACTGTCATTATTATGATTATGTTTAAAATTATGTGTAGATCGTTAAATGTTATTGCTTAAGACCACTGCAAAAAATTTACAATAAAGAATTTCTTTAGGTGGGTTTATAAAAACGACTTGCATCAAGATATTATTGGATAGAGTTTGGTTAGTTAATACTGTTTTTAAAACACCTTTTTAGATATGCTTCATATTACTAGTTAGCTTTCTAAAAATTGTGATAAATTACAAAGTTCTACACATTTCTTTAAAACTGCTGATCCATTGTCCAGTGATTTTTGTCTGACTTTTTGTCTTTTCTTATTTTCTGGAGGTCAGGTTGCCAAACTTTACCGGGATTCTAGCCTAGGAAACGTTGTGAATATCATAGTTGCTCGTTTAATTGTTCTCACGGAAGATCAGGTAAGACCAAGTTCTCTTTCAAAGACCTCAATCCGTAAAACCCAGGCTACAGTATCGTGTATTGCCACAGACTCTACCTCACTCTCATTTTAGGAGGGTGTATTTGACTAGGGACCTCAACTTTAAGCATTCACTATTTTAAGCAAGATTAAACTGCTTAAAAAAGGAATATTCCTCCTATGTCAAGTTGGGGATATATGTTTACATATGTTAGCTGAATGTTATCAGTGCAAGTTTGAGCATTTGAGTGGCAGAGATTTATAATAATGGTCCTATGTTTGCTTTTGTACGTGGGTAATCTCAGTTTTTGTATTCACCTAATCACTAAAGCTGGAGCTGAGAAGAATGCCTGCTCTGTAATACACTAGATGAACTCTAGGTCAGATTTTACAGAGATAAAAATTGGCAAGAGAAGATTATTCCTAGAAACCACTGCTTCTAATTATAGTCCCATTTTAGTCTTCAAAAGGCTTAACAACTGACCTTAGTAATTTGTTTGGAACATTTCTGGTATGCATGTTGTATTGCAGCCAAACTTGGAGATAAACCACCATGCAGACAAGTCCCTCGATAGCTTCTGTAAATGGCAGAAATCCATTCTCTCCCACCAAAGTGATGGAAACACCATTCCAGAAAATGGGATTGCCCACCACGATAATGCGGTTCTTATTACTAGGTATGGTTTGTTGCAAGTATTTTTCCTTTGATTGTTGTGTGTGTGTGTTCTATAGTGTTATTATATTTGCTTCTACTTAAAGCTTCAATGAGATAACCAAATGGATGTGTCATAATGAGAGCAAAGAGATAATTTATTATTATTTAACCATTGAAAATTAATGGATTAGTCTGTTAAAAATGTTGACCAAATAGGAAAAAAGAAAGCTTTATGATTTGGCTTCAGTTTGATAAATGTATTCCGTTCCACTTCTGAGGTCAGGTTTCACAATTATTTAATTGAGGAAACTATATGATCATTTAAGTTTTTGAATTGATGGTTGAGTGAAATGCGTGTAAAGGCAAGCACGTGACTTCCTTTCCAGTAGTAGGAAGAAAAAAAATTGGTAACAAATGCAATGGTTGTTATTGGTCACAAAACTCATTGACTCCTCAACCCCAAAGGTATTTTAAAAAATGTGATGAGGGAAAAAAAATAGTAAATATAGAGGAGTTATATTTCCCTTAAAAATGTTCAAACTGTCTCACTGAGAAGGCAGAGAATCAGGTTTATTGCACACTAAGCTAACCCCTTGGGCAAAATAGAATTATTTTATGTTGTTTTCTAATTAAAATAGCATGGAAATAATATATTTACATCATCTTAAGATAATTTCCTCTTCTGACCTCTTATCTGCATACAATGGAAACTAAAAGAAAAATGGAAGCAATATTGATTGCTTCCACTGCCAAATGCAGTGCTCTTTCATTGTTTCCCTTACTCATTCTCATTTGCAAGGACATATTTAACTGTAAGTTCCCTTTGTGGAGTTATCACAGTACGTTGCTCTCCAGAGACAATGAATGGTAGGAGAGTCTTAGCCAGAAGGTGTGCTACGATGTTGAAACCCAGTCAAATTAAATCTGTCAGCGTTTGGAAAGTTTGGTCTGCTAATTATTGGGCTACAGAGATAAAAACTGGGCTTTTGATTCCTATGCTTAATTTCTTTTACTTCAGTTACTTGGTATTACAAGTCAGGAAATGTTCTTATGCACCTCAATCACCTCTCTCATACCAAATGTCATAAGCAGCATTGCATACGAATCATTTTGCATTTGTGGTTCGATATATCGACCTAATAAACTTTGGTATCTCTGTCACTGTGGTCTCTTTGGTTCTAATTCTCCTTTAAAAAAATTCAGGCATTGTAATGACATAGCATTCTTAGTGTCAAATATCACATATGTACTTATATAATACATATCAGTGAAATCACTAGAAGAAAAGGCCTATTCTGTGCCTTCACCAAAATAATCTTCTCACGGTGTGTGTATATATGTTTATCACACATACACATACAAACATTTCCTCCATTTGCCCTCCACATTTCAGCACTCTTTCATTGAAGTATCAGCATTTATGATTTAATTTTTTGCATCAAATAACCAGAAGTTACACTAAGGGTGAATATTTATAAGAATTCAAATAATCAAATACAGCTGTGCTGTTCGCCACCCCTTACACTGGCTGTTACACACAGCTGTCTGAACTTGTTATCCTGAATTGGCTCAGCTCTCACTCTGATCCTCTACAGAGCTTTTCTTTGCCTCTGGGAGCTCCTCTGAGTGGCTCCTTCCCAGCAATAGCCTTTGATGTCTGGTACTTGAACATCAAATTTAATTTTTAAACATTTCTTCTGATGATCCAGACTAGTTTGGAAAATGGTCTCAGGATTTAATGAGGGCAGGATCCCACAGAGATGAGTGCTTAGACCATTGTGGGTGGGTACTGGAAAATACCTCCATTGGGTGTCCTGGGGGGAGGGTACCCTTTCAAATTGTTGTTTTTAAAACCTTGAATAGTTAGAGCTTATTTTGGATTCTGGTGTCTGGATTACCAGGGCCACAGGGTGGCTTCTTAGTGCTTGATGCGGGTTCCTTGGTAGCTACTGTACCAGCTGTTCTTGAAACATTACTTCTTAGGTAGGGATGTAACTTTCTCAAGTAGATCTGACTCTTTCATTTCTTTATTTCTGATATGTGAAACTGAATGTATGTTTAATCAGTAATGCTACTTTTAGTGAAGATAACGGTGTGAACCCACAGCTGAGATTGCATTGCTGCTGAAAATTCATTTTTTATGACTTACTAGAATGTCCAGGGTTGTGAGCCCCTCCTTATAGAGGTAAGGTCACAAGTTATATTCCCTTGGAATGTCAACTCACTAAGGAGAAGGTACTGTCTGTATTTGTCAGGAGTTCTGGCAGAACACATTAACAGATGAGCTTATCTCTACAGGGGTCAAATTTGGTCGTAGGGACTTAAATGCTTTATGCAGAGAATCATTTGGAATTTTGACTACTTAAAAAGGTAGTATTTCTTCCTAGTATTATTTTTAATGTTAAAAGTATGAAATGTGGTTGTTTCCAATTGATAGTATCCTACCTCATTGTTTTTTCATTTGTTTTAAATTGAATACCAATTTATTATGTTTGTAAAGCCATCAAATCACATACTGACTAGTTGTAGAATCATACAAGAGAACACTTTTACTACAGCAATGAAGAATTTTGAAGTATTTTCCTCTCAAAATTAAGATCATGGAAATCTAAAGAGTTTCTCCATCAGTATTTTTAAATTGATACAATGTTGCTTCTGTAGAAGAGTCTCTCATCTGTCTGACATCTGTATAGTTCAGAATTTTAAAGAGTGCATAAAATTTGTGAAATTTTAATAGGGAAATGAATAAATACCAATGATCTTTCATATAATTTGTAAGGCTTATATAGACTGTGTTTAGAGGACCTTCTTGCGCCATTATTAATATTCCTATCTCTCAGAGCAAAGTATAATGTCTCTTCATGTACGCTACAATACCATCATTTAAGTCAGGAAATGATTAGTAATATGCTCTGTCCTTGAAATTCTAGGAGGGGAATTTAAGGAGTTAGAAGAGTATAGATAGTTTTTGAAGGAGGTGTACCCTTGAGAAATTCCATTTGGTTAAAAATGACCACATTAAATATTTATATCTCTGTAATGAAGAAGAAATGTAAATTGCCAGGTAGCATGGAAAGTATTGCCTTGAACAAGCTTTCAGGGATAGGACCTGAAATTGACATATAGTTATTGACTTTTAAAATTTCCACATGAGCTAGGTATTTAGCTAGTAGCTGAAGTCAGGAAATATCCACCACAAGTTTAAAGTCAAAACCAATTTTCAAATTTGTTCATGGCAGAAATCTTCAAACAATCCATTTATAACCTAAAATTCAGAAAGGATTTAGGGGGCTTAAAGTATGTTTGCTTCAGTATTTAGTAGTTAGAATGAACAGACTAATACACACATTTTCTTGGCTCACCCACAGTATAAACTTTTAGAATCATTATTTTTTTCTATGGTCAGGAAATTAAGAAATACACATAATTTATATATTTAAGGTATTAGCAATAACATGTTTGTAAAAATTGAAGTTTTGGAACCCTTAACTCATTAATTGTAGAGATTCATTCAGTTGTAATAATGAATTTCCTTTTAAAAATGATTTGTTAATGAAAAGGAAAGAAAATATGTATTTCTAAAATAAAGATACTAAAATAAGCCTGTAATTAAAATGGAGGGTACTTATCCTCTTCCTGAGGTCATAGCCTGTTTACTTTTATGATGCTGTATTATGAATTGGTCAGCATGTCCAAAATCAACTTATGTTTTTTAGGTGGGGGAGGGAAGGTTAAGCAGCTTTATAATTGAGCTGCGTGTTGAAACTTGGGTTGGCTTAATAGGACTTATTTTATTAAAAATGTATTTAAAATGACTAGTTGGTGACTTCCTGACTGCATATGATAGGATAGATTGGAGATGGGGAGTGAAATGGAATATTGCAGACTCTCAGAATTTGAAAGTTGGAAGGACCTCAGTGGCTATTTAGTTTGTCTCCTACACCAAAGGGATCCCTTACTCTAATATACCTTGATCACTTGAAATCATTCAGCCTCTACCTAAAGACCTCCAAGGAGAGCCAACACACTTCCTCCTGAGGTGGGCCATTCCATTTTCATACACTTCTAATTGTTAGAATTTTTTTTCTAATTATCAAGCCTTAATTTATCTCTTTGTGATTTCCACCCATGGCTCCTGGTTCTGCCCTCTACAGCCAGACCTTACAAGTCTAATCCCTTCTCGACATGGCAGCCCTTCAAAAAGGTGAAGACTACTGTCATGTCCCCTTAGTCTTCTTTCCTCCAGACTAAGCATTCCCAGTTCCTCAACTGAACCTCATATGTCGTGGACTCAAGGTCCTTCATCATCGTGGTTGCTTTCCTCCTGACAGTAATCTCCTCTAGTTTATCAATGTCATTCACTCCAGATGAGGTGTGATGAAGGCAGAGGACAGGGGAACTATCCCTATTCTTGGAAGCTGTGCTTCTTTTAGTGCAGCCCAAGATTACATTATTATTATTTTTTTTTTACTGTAACATCACACTGCTGAATCATATTGAGTTTGTAGTCCATTAAACCCTGTCCTCATGTTTTCCTGAACAATTGGTATCTCTCCATGTCTGTGATGCTATTGTGAAGTTGATTTTTGTACCACAACATATGTGAAATTTATTTTTTGTACCGTAGTTCATGACTTTATATTTATCCTTAATGAACTTAGCTTCAGCTGGATGCTGTAGCTTGGAGGATCCTTTTGGATTTTGGCTCTGTCATCCAGTGTGTTAGCTCTCCCTCCCAGCTTTATGTCTTCTGCAGATTTGATAAGCATGTCACCCATGCCTTTATTCAATCTTTTATAAAAATATGAAACAGCATAGAGCCAAGCAGAGATCATTGTAGTACTCCATTAGAGACTTCCTGCCCCATTGACATTGAACCATTAACAATTACTCTTTAATTCCTGTCATCCAATTAGTTTTGGTTTTGAAGCCATCTGGATCTATTATATCTCTCCATCTTCTCCACAAGAATAGTATTAAGATAGCTTTGTCATGAACTTTGCTAAGATCTAGGTAAGTGCA